CCGCCCATTTTTTTTAAAATTTTTAATTAAGCATAAAAAATACTTAAAACTGAAAAAACACGAAAGAAATGCGTTAATTTTGAAGAAAAAGCTTTATATTTTATTTTCCTTTGTTTCGCCTGTCTGTGAAATGTAACACCGATGAGTCATTGTTTACACAGCTGGGTGACCTTGAACACAGCTGGAGTCCGATTTCCCGGGACATTCTCATAGACATCGCGGGAGGACAAGGGTTTAAAGTAGGGTGACTTCAATCTGGCGGTATATTTTTAAATATTTTAAAAAAATTATAATTTTTATTGCGATTTCCGACCCCCCCTAATTAATTAAACTTCTATATAATAAAATCTATTAATTAAAAAAATTAAAAAACTATCGGAAGTCGTTTTTGACATCAGAAAGCAGCTTTAAATAACTTTACCGAAGGAAAATCGGTGCGCTACAACTTTAGAATGATAAATTAATTTTGATAAAAAACTCCCATTAAAAAAACATTAAGCCTTAATCGAGCCTTATTAAAATCGCGATAAAATTTTTTCGCGTGCGCAAAAAATTCTGAAAAAATTTGGGGACCTAAAAAACATTCCAAAAATTCAAAAAAAATAATTTTTTCAAAAGTAGCCTTAACGATGTAACGCTATAAAACTTGCTCGAGTCACACTCGAGCGCGGCTCAGAAGGGGTTAAGCTACATTTTCATATGAACAGAAAATGTAGAACTTTCTGTTTTTGTCATCTTTCTTTTTGATCAATGCTTACTACACTAGAAAACTCATGTTTGCTCAAGTGTAAAACCATATTTTCATAAATGGGCAAAATAAACAATAGCAAGTAGATCTTATATTTTTCTTAAATTGCTAGTCTCCATGTTTATATAACAAATTAGGCAGTCTTAACTTCATGAAAGAATTCTAAAGTGTCATTTTGTTCCTGTCTCTTATCAAGAATAGCCATCTCAATACATCTCATTTTAATTCAAGCAAATTTACATTACTAGCAGTTAAAATAGCATTAATTACACTATGTTTTCTTAGTGGTTGAAGTACAATGAATTCACATGACAGAAACAAAAAGTTTCAATATTTTCTGCTCTAGGTTTATCTGGATTCAGTGAAACAGAACTTTGTAAATAGAAAGGGAAATCACTTTCCTGTTTCTGCAATATTTCTGATGATGTGGAAACAAGCTTTTAATCTGACCATTATTCAAAATGTTAAATATGGTCAGGTGAATAGAAGTTGGGTTAAATGGTGAATAAAGAACACTATATGGGACAATTTTCATTTCTTCTATTTAAATCTGAAGGCACATATAATGTCTTCCTAATCATTGATGTAATCAATATAGTTTATGAATGGAAACAATGTAAATATAAGATATGCATACCAAGTGATCAGTAACTCCTGTATCACTGGCTAATTGTATGAATTTACAACTAATTTATTGCTGCCAACATGGTAATTTCTATAGTTTATTTTTATAGGATATTATCTTTCATGAATTAGGAATATGCTATGATCTGCATTTCTACTCAGTAAATGCTGTCAAGATGTTGATTTTCTCTTCAGGATTTGTATTTGCACACCAGTCATGATGGATAATGGAACTTTTAAATAAACTCATAATTTCAATTGTAGAGAAATATGCTATTATTTTCTTTGTTTTTTTCTTCTGTAAAATCATGAACCAATGAATTACTTGATGCAACAACTTTATTTAATTTATGATATGCATTTTAAGTGTTTTCACACTCCTGATCAGTTATTATCTTATTAATGTCCATTTTGATATAACAAAATTAATTCATTATAAGTAAAAATAAAATTCAATACAAATATAAATAAAAATGTCAGAATGGAATTCTGAAATTTTAATTTGTTTGTATCTTATTTTATTGTGGTTTGTTGATAATGAATTTAAATTTTGTTAAATCAAAATAGATATGTTCAAAATAGGCATTAATAAGATAATCAATAACTGGAGTGTGAAAACACTCAAAATGCATATCATCTATGCTAATATTATAAAGAGGTAATGTTTGTATGTATGTTAGTTTGTATGCAGCAGGTAATCTTCAAAACTACTCATCCGATTTCAAAAATTCTTTCACCAATATTTAGAATGGAACGTCAGGGTGGACATAGGCTGTATGTTATTCCATTAAACATGGGAGATGGACAGTTCTTTATGGTAATCTTTCCCTGTAAGGCTTACCGTAAAGAACTGTCCATCTCCCATGTTTAACGGAACTCTGCTTCTGTTTATACTATTTTAGATGCGGTATTTTGCATTTTTGATTGCATTTTAATAGAGTACGTCAACAGAATGTACACTAAAAAGAGATTTTTCGATATTCCCCCGCGGGGGGGAGAGGGACAGTATTAAGGCTTACTGTGAAAAACTCTGCTTCTGTTTATATTATTTTAGATGCGGGATTTTGCGTTTTTGATTGCGTTTTAATAGGGTACGTCAAGAGAATGTACACTAAAAAAAATTTTTCGAAAAATTTTCCCCCACAGGGGAAGTGTTATACATTTATAATAGATACATTTTGAGCCACAACAAGGCGTGGCGGGGTCTGCTAGTAGAATAAATAAAGTTGTTGCCTGAAGTCATGTATTGGTTCATGGTTTCCTAGAACAAATAAAGAAAGAACAAACTCAAAACTTTTGAATATTAACCGCAAAAATTGCATGAAGTGTAATAACAGAATAAAAATGAAAAGCAAGAAAACATTAATTTTCAGAATAGCAAGCATGTTGTACAATCTAATTATTCTGGATATTACTTATAAGTTTCTAACTGATGTCAAATTTTGTGGGGATTTTTCTTTCCAATTTTAATTTTAAAAATTTATATTTGTAATTTAAATTAGATTGCCTTAAATACACTAAATGTTTAAAATTATTCTCTTTGCTAGTAAATGTAAAATTGAAACTATAGAAGCTGATTAATTTTTAAAAAGAAAGAAAATTAAATAAACTATAAACAGTACTAATTGTTTTTATTTAGATAATTGTTTTTGTTTACTGAAATAAGATTTTTTTTCTTTTCTTTAGGCCATATGATCCTCAATGGTATGAAGATGAAATTGATGAAGATGAGGTATTGGATGAAGAAGGAAGAGCACGTTTAAAATTAAAGGTTTTTATAATTATTTAAATTTTTAATAATTTAAATTAAAAATTAAAAATAAATTATTTAAATTTTTATAATTATTTTAGAAAATACAGGTATACCTCGCCTTACGTCGGTAATTGGTTCCAGGAAAACGACGTAAGTCGAATTTACCTGTCTCCGAATCTACTTATCACTAGGAAAGCATTTTAAATAATATATGGTTAATAAAAATCTATTTTAAGCTTACAAACAAATAAATTTTAGTTTTTAATATAGTACAAAAAAAGTAATCTAAATTTACGAATGCGTGTACTGTAAATACAGTACATACTTGTATATATTTTAATATGATTTTATGTGCTTTAAACGTTTATCTAGTGATATTACGACTTCAATATTTGTGGCAGACAGACGTAAAGTCGAATAAAATGACTTAAACTTGATTTTTATTTTTCCATATACTTTTTTAACAAGCGATGTATAATCGGGAACGACGTAACTCGAAACGACGTAAGTCGAGGTATGCCTGTAATATGATAAATATATTCATTTCTATATAAATAACAGAAATAACATCCAATAGCTATTTAATTTAGATTAAGAAGTCTTTTAAAAGATTTAATCATGAAAGTAAGATAATCATGTGTTTTAGTTTAGAGCACTCTTCACTCAAAGGTTAAAATATGCAACAAGAAGCTTCTTGAAATTTTAGAATATAGAAATAAACAAAATTTGGAGTAGATATTGGGGTCTAAATAATATACAGTGGAACCTTGGTATAAGACCTTAATCCGTTCCTGGTGTTTGGACTTATACCGAATAGAACGTATACCAAACCAACCTTTCTCATAAGAAGTAATGTAAAAATGATTAATCCTTTCTCCTGTAAAGAAAAAAAAATGGCTTGCTTTAAACACCTCTTTGCTGGCTAGTTCCTGCTTGATTTTTTATGAGATCAGCATGTATCTTTTTAGCTTTCTCGCAAATAATTGCTTCCGATAGGATGTTGCCAGCACACTGTTTTTCAGTTATCCAAACAAAAGCAATTTCTCAACATGATCTAATGTCTTCGATCTCTGTTTAGAAATTGATTTAACTCCTTTCGCAACGTTAGCAAATTTAATAATGTCTTTATTTTTCACGATTGTCGATNGAACAAACGCCATTTTTTAATGTTTCCGTCAGTGGCCGTTGTTCAGAGGTTTTGACTGTATATTTATCTTGTAAGTAAATATTTAAATTTTAATAGAAACGAATATTGAAGTTTTATAATAAAATTCGTAAAATCATTAAAAGAATAAGTTCATAAAAATAAAATAGAAATTCTCATTATAGTGAGATACAAAATCGAATCTAACATCTTTTAGTTGTTTAGTCAAAAAATATATTTATTTTTACACTATTTCAAATAAACATTTTTTGATTTTATCAATAGTTACAAACCAGTAATGAAATAATTACATGAATATATTTTGCTATAAGAGTGTACAGAGTATCTATTTTTCAGGAAAACTATGAAAGTAATGAAATTGTAAAAAAAAGCCATAAAAAATCACTTTAAGTCACAAATTTTGATAACTGGTGATGAATTTTTTTTACCAGTAATTACCAGAAAAAATTTCTCCAGTTTTTGAAAGGGAATAATCCATCTTATACTTGTACATTTCTGAGCATGAAATGAATACTCCATCATTAACTAATGTTGAATATTAAGTGTAAATTATTATTAACTGTTATAAAACTTTGTATTACTCAAAATTAACTATCTGGATCTTTTATTGGTATTATCTGCCTTTTCTGTTATAAGATTTTTTCATCACTAGCATTTTACACTCAAGTTTGCAATGTATTTATGTATCTTGTCAGAAATTGTATTTTTTATAGTTGCTTACATTATATTCTTTCAATCATCCTTCAGCAATAGCCAATATAGATGACCTGCTTTATTGATTATGCCCTTTAAATTGTTAACTAAAAGGGCTAGTCTAGAAAAGAATAAAGGATTTTATTATGTAGTATGCGATCATAAATTTTTTTTTTTTTTGCAAATGTTAGTCAGTAATGAAAATTGATATTGTATTATGAATTATTTTCTTGAAATCCAGTAGACATCCTGGTGTATTATATTTCTATGCTTCAAATATCTACATTATTTAATTTTTGGAGAATTTCTAACATATTTTAACCATAGCTTAATTTACAGGCACTTATTTTTTTTTTATAAAGTTGAAAATTTTATTAATTTTTGGAAATAGGAAGAAGAACAAGAACATGAAGAACATGAAGAACCAGCACCAGAAACAAGAATTGAAGTAGAAATTCCTAGAATTACAACAAATTTAGGAAAAGAAATACATTTCATAAAACTTCCAAATTTTCTCAGTGTGGATACAAGGTAACATAAATTTATAAGGATTATGTATATCTACAAATTAGCTTTCAGTTTTTCTTCCAAAAATATCCATTCAATTTAAAATTTTATTATTCAAAGGCAAGTAGCATTATTACTTCTTCATATATTCATTCTGAAAATGACTTTTCTTAAACACATTAGCTACTGTAAAGTTTAACTGCTTCTTGTCCACTTTTTTAAAAAAATTTTTAATTAAGCATAAAAAATACTTAAAACTGAAAAAAACGAAAGAAATGTGTTAATTTTGGTTAAAAAGCTTCATTTAGTTTCCTTTGTCTCGCCTTTCTGTGAAATTTAACACCGATGAGTCATTGTTTACACATCTGGATGATCTTGAGAACAGCTGGTGTGGTATTTCCCGGGACATTCTCAGACATCTCGGGAGGAGAAGGGTTTAAAGTAGGGTGACTAGAAATTAAACCTATATTTTTAAATATTTTTAAAAAATTATAATTTTTATTGCGATTTCCGACCCCCCTAATTAATTAAACATATATATAATAAAATCTATTCATTAAAATAATTAAACTATCGGAGGTCATTTTTGACATCAGAAAGCAGCTTTAAATAACTTTACCGAAGGAAAATTCGTGCACTACAACTTTAGAACGATTAATTAATTTTGATAAAAAACTCCCATTAAAAAAACATTAAAAAGCAATTAAGCCTTAATCGAGCCTTATCAAAGGCTCATTAAAATCGCGATAAAATTTTTTCGCG